TAAATTCTGTTTCAGGGTCATTTAGTGAATATGCCACTAAACTTTTTATGTAACGAGGATTTAAAACCTGCTGCTGGTACTGTAGAAGGCATTATGCCAACAGCACTCTGGACATAAATAAATTTTGATCAGTATTTCGATATTTTGTTGGATTTGTATAAACAAGATAATGACAAATGGCGTTTCCATTAATCACTAGAAATTACAGAAAGATTACATTATTTTAACTAACAATTTTATCGCGTATTTAAAAAAGATATAAGTGTAATCTTTTTATAAACTAAAATAACAAACGTTTTTTACGTAACTAGGAAATATTTTATAACTTAATAATAGAAAACTTCCAACATTCCTAGATATTTGTTACTTGTTCACAATAACAATAATATGAATATAATAACTGTTACTAATTTAAAAAGAATTCTATTTTATCAAGAATTTAAAACATATTAGTACTTAAGTCACGATTTTATCTAGTTGACTTTTGTGTTGCAAATTCTATTTTGTGATATTATTTATTTGTAATTAATGATATACATAATAAAAACTGTGTACAACTATGTATCTTTATTTTTTGCTGATCTGCATTGTTCCCAGAATGTTTTGAATTTTATTGTTACAGTTCACTTCTTCCCATATGGAACTCCCTCAATCAGCTAATTGATTTGGAGGACAAGGGGAGACGACCACGAGTCGCGCTCCTTAAATATTTAACAATGAATAATTAATTATAACATTTATATTTATTATATAAACAAAACATTTAACTCTGTTTCGAATTTTGAAAAGGAAAAACAAAATCCTAGGGTCAACATCCCTGCTATTCCTGCTTCGTACCCCCTTGACAAACTCCTCGAACCCCCTAGAGAAACCCCTTCGTTAGCCGTTAAGATTACAATTTTTAAAAATCCCAGTTCCTTGTCCTAGATTGATGGTGCCACATAGTGTGAGAATACTCAAACTTCTAACTAAATATTACCAGATTGTGTCTGCTAGGTGACACTACCAAATCAATTGTCTCTGTCCTTCTCACTTTTATATATTCATCCTTGTCTTTCCTTCTCCAGGATTGGTGGCGCTACCGATTATGAAATCGCTCAAACTTCTAGCTAAATAGTACCTAATTGTTTTCGTTAGGTGATGTCACCAAAATTAATTGTCTTTGTCCTTCTTACTCTCATATATTTACTATTCGTCTTTTACGTTAGTGCTGACTGAGCTTTGACACGTCCTTATTGGCCGTCTGCTTTCTTCATCCCGTGGCCGGGCCAGTAACAAAGATGTGCCGATACTAAGTCGGTATATCAATCGAGCCGAGTGCGGCAAGTGATCGTTTCCCCCTGCCTCCCCAACCGGTTAGGTGATTTTGCGGTTTTCAGATGGAAAGTAGGCGAATTGTAGGTCTATGGCTTAAGTCTGTATCAATGATCATCATTACAATCAGTGGTGATTCATTGCCCTCTTGCGGCAAATTTAGGAAAATCTAGTTAGAGTTGCTGGAACCACAGACGAGGTGTATCGTCTGTGCTGGAACTTTCTTATCCGGTTCCAGCAAACCATCTGGTTTTGCGTTTACAAGTCTTGTGTTTTGATAAGTATCGTCATTTTCGATGATGTATTAAAATCAATTTTTTACATGTAACAGTAACATTGATGTAGTACACATTTATCTATACTGATATTGTTTAGTTAGTGATAAAAATGACATATTTAAGTTCATGGGAAGAATTCGAGAAAGGGGCAGAGAGGTTATATCTTCAAGATCCAATGAAAGTGAGTATTAATTGAATTTACATTAATTATTCTTCTATTATTATATTGACATATTAGAAATTGCCTGTAAATTTTAATAATGATGTTTTGTGAAAGTATTTCATTCAATAATTTAAAAATATTTTCATAGATAATAGAGGTTGACTGATTTGACAAGTTGACACGTCATTTGTTCGAAGTAAAACACGATTTTATTTTATACACGACTTTATCAACCGAGAAAGTAATGTTACATTAAATGTGTAATGTGTTTGAAATATAATATTTTATTAAGTTTGGTACAGAAAAATATCGAGAGCAATTGTTTTATATGAATTTTATTTATTATAGTTACTAAAAACTGCAGATAAAGCTTAAGTACTTATAATGTATATGTGCAGGTAATAGTATATTTATAACTTTAGCTTCCCATGTAGATATATAAGCTTATAATTTATTGTTTTCTTGTTTCAGACTCGGTATACAATGAAATATTGCCATAGTAAAGGTATCTTATGTCTAAAACTTACAGATAATCGAACGGTAAGCGTTGTATTTATGTAACTTACCTTTACGTAACTTAATTTTTACAAACTAACTTAAATAATACAATTGTAATTTTTTGTTGCAGTGCCTACAATATAAAACAGAGATAGCACAGGACTTAAAGAAGATGGAAAAATTTATAGGAAATTTAATGAGGCACATGGCATCTAAGGAGAGCTAAATAAAGGACTAGATAAGATTAGGGACACTTTTTTTAAATAAGGAATAAAAGTGCTGCGCATTTAATTCATTGTTTATGGTTCATTTCATAAGTTTCAGTGACTGATGGGATTATTGATATTTAATTTGAATGAGGTATAAAAAACTTTCTTAAATATACAATATGTGCATAAATGTCTATTTTGTATTTATTTAAAGCTTCATGCTCATTTCGGCTGGTGACGTTGCCTCCTTGTTAAAGTTCTGAAACAGTGCAAAATGGGAATGCATTAAAATACAAATGCTCATTTGTTTTAAGCATTTAATTTTCTAAATGAAACAAATGTACGTGTAAAAACGTGATCTAAAATTTGTCTAAAAGTACCAATACTTTTTAGAAAGTGTAATTATACTATTCCAAGAATAAGTAGAATGTTCAGCAGCGTATAATGCATTAGGTATTAATGAAGCCAGACTTCGATTTTAATCAATTTCTAATACTGAATATTATAAGAGAGAAGCACAAAGCAATGAAAAGAAGCACTTACGATATTATGGGCTGCAGAACAGCATCCAGAGTAGTATCAACAGGAGGGTAGATTTCTTGGTTTGAAGACAGTTCATAGCGTACCTCTCCCCCTAATTGCAATTGCGTCTATACCAAACAAAACTATTTTACTAATTCACTATGCAGAAAATTTTATGATACAACACACTACATTCTAGAAATAACATTTCGTTGAATAAATCTTTGAATACTATTCCAATAGACAAACAAATAACACGAAAATACGTTGTACATAATATAACGAAAAACTGACGTAAAATTATTACTTTTTCGTTATATTTAACGAAATGATATAACTAGAAAAGAAAAGAGTAGCAAACCTTAACCATATGTGTTTATAAAAAGCGCTTAGTATTTCTAACAAAGTTCAACAGTATAAGTGCAATTTTAGTGAAATTAATTTCATTTGTCACATAGTACTGTGATCATTTCTTATTGTTCTCTTATAAAAGCAAAAAGCTTAAACTACATGAAGCAAAAATTTAACCCATTACTTTCTATTGGTACTGTTGTGCACCGACAAATATAATATACAGTTCTCTTTATCGACATTAACTACTTTCCATCTTTATTGAACGATCTCATCGCATCTGTTACAGACTAGATGATTATTATATTTATCGGTACGCATTTCACAATAACATAATCAATTAAAGTGTTGTACATATATATATATATATGTATATATGATACTCAGCATGTAACGTGTTTCACGCAAAACCAAAATAAACGAATAATCGTAAATCTTGTATAATGAAAAAGAAACAAAGCGAGCGTAAAGATACGTACTACACGGGTGGGCTTAGCGCTGTCGGCTGAGCTTGAGCAGCAGCTTGAAAATTCCTGCGGTGTGCTTTCCCCGAGGCCACTGTCCGCGTTACTGCCTATCAATATTCTGTTGTTACGAGTATAATAAAAGTCCTTCCTCATATTGCACTCGCTCCTACTACCGTCGTAGTACTTAGCCTCGACTTGACCCGGCCTGGTCGGTGGCAAATTATAACTTCCATCGCGACTATGCTGTATCATTCTTCTGTTTCTTTTGCCAATGGATCCGATTGTTCTGAAAGTGAGTCCTTCACAGTCTTCGATAGCCACTCCAAATTTTTAAACGATCATTCCTGATCGGACACCAATCCGACATCGATGCATACACATTTTAGTTTGGCAAACGATCAGATGCGGTTAATACATACTACGAGCTAGAGATTGCATTCCTTTTCTGTTTTATTTCATAACAATTACTAGTATTCACACAGGTTTTTGTCATTTTCTTTCTCATTCGTAGGTCGTTCAACGGTCGGTCGTTTCAAATACCGGGACACCTAAAGGGGATTCTCGCCGGTGTGACACAGATATATCAATACACAACGAATTTCGATCGGCTTTTGTAATAGTCTCGATGCTCCCAGATACCAACGTTCGTTCGACGAGAGTACACAATGCAATTACCACAAACACAATTACACAACAAAACGTTTAACAGGATACGGAGGGCACAGACATGATACGGACACAGGAGAACGAACGGGGAATTGCTACGGTTCCGAGGACGTATACTTCCACGCGGATACTTCCGTGGAATAGCAAAAAGCATCAGTGGGTGCCAGCCAGGAAATAAATACACAGGTGCGAAAAGCTGTTAACCTCATCGATTTATTAAGGGTCTGTCATGCTTCTCGAAATAAATAATAAGGGG